TGTCGTTTTGTAGGCGTATGCGACAGCGTAGGATAGATAGGATGATGAGTAGTGCGATACACACAAGCAACGACCACGTGCAAAAGTTGTGGCCTAACTCGATGTTGTGATTGGCGAAGTTTTCGTGCTCCTCATCATGGCTCAATCCGATGCCGCGTCACCTCCGTCGACACTGTGTGGGATTTGGCTTGCAAATGGCACCACCACTCACCACTCCCCATTACCACGCAGGAGGAGGCGGAGGAGGGAGACAAGAGGTGGCCCACCACTTGACTCTGGCCCATTCATTATTGATGTACGGACGCCGTACTGCCGACAGGCAGGCGGCCGTGGGTCCCGAAGGGAGGGGTGGGGGGTGCATACGCCGCGGGACGGGTGAGTCACGCGGTACGCTCCCATTGGCCGGCGCTAGTCCGGCCCCACCCCCAACCGTCCTCGGCTGTTGACCGCTACCGGGGGGGGGGGGGATCTTATGCTATGCGCTGCCTGCCTCACAGTACGACTAGAGGCACGAGTCACGGTCGCAGCTCGCGTGTGTACCGTCACATGGTGACGCCGTGTAGTGTACCCATCACGCGTCTCGCGTTCATCCGTCGTGGCTTACGTTGCTGACATCATCCATATGCATGATTTACTTGCGTGCTATGTATCTCATCTACGGAGATGGAGACCGATCGAGCTTAGTCAGATTCCTCGCCGGAAAAGTAAACGTTCGTTATACGACACCGATTGAGACCGGATGGGTTAACCATAGAGGGGAGCCAAGCCAAGAACCCTTTGCGGTCTTACCCTCGAGCCACCCACCAACCAGTACACGCGAGTTGGTGATGGAGATTGTGTCTTGGGGTATGCTAAGCTAGATTGGATGTCAAAGAGTACTTGCTGCGTTTCATGCATTTGCGGGACATCAAATCCTAGAGTTGACTAGTCAAACGTGGAAACAGACCATCTTAGCAGACGACATTGTTTGGTGGACCACGATAAGGTAGGCGACCAACAAGGATGCGCCGCATCAGCATGGCTTCACCAAGATGTCACATCGACGGCAGTGGGCACGAGGGGTGGGTAACTCACTGGGGTTACCACAACCTAGGCTAGGACGACATGAGAAGGATACAGGTGAGGAAGAGGTGGTCCAAGGTGGAGGCAGTGGCAGATTCCTTGTAGTGCCAAACTTGGCTCCAGCTACTGTACCTTTCCCCTCGGCCGCCTTGCACGCCCCCTCGCAAGAGGCACAAGCCGATCCCATCCTTAGTGGGCTCGCGAGGGGTTGCCAACAGCTGTTCTCAGGCAAGCATGCAACTTGGGCACGTCACGCTGGATCAGATCGGCCAGGGAGCACCTTGACAACTTGGACGCCCGCCCTCTTCCATGCGTTGGGAAAGTTCGCGAAACAAACACGAAGCAGCAGAGTACACCATGTCGGTGTGGTTTAGGAAGAAGAAGGGCTTAAAGGCAGCTGCAGCTGCGGCAAGTTGACGAATGGCGGAGGGAGAGGAGGCTCCGCGAGACTTCGTCCTCAGAAAGTTAAGTCTGAGCTGGATCAGGGGAAAAGATCGGAGCTACGGGATATGGTCGACCCTTATCCACATTGTTGGGTTGAGTAGGGATTTGGCAAGGCCACAGAAGCATGCACTCGGAGCCTCCTCTTAACCACCCTTCCCTTGTTCGCAAAGAAAAAGGACGGCATGCATGCCTTCCATCCACATCCCACTAGTTCAAGTGGCCACATTATTGTTCTTGAACCCTCCTCCATCTTCCGAACCCCTGAAATGGTACCGAGCAAGAGGGATAAAGAGATCCTCAACATATCTATGGTCAGTAAAGGAGGAGGACAAGTGGTCCAGTGCAGGCAAGTAAGTTCAGCTGAATGATATGATGCTTCTCTCACGGTCTCATGTATCCTTGTCACAGAATGATGACACATTACAGTCCCCTCGTCATGAAAAGAAAGGCCTAAGCAACAACGCCACCACTGCCTATTCTTGGCGAACCTATGCATCTAAAGCAAGCTCAATAATGGAACAATGTAGAGAGTATGGGCAAAGCCAAGTGGAAGCCAGAGGGGGAGTTCAGTGCTTCCCCTCCAAACAAGTCCTCGAGCCTTCCTCTCCGTGGTGGCACTCTTCTATGGCCGTCAGGACGTCTCCTACACAACAGCCACGTATCATAAGTCCAGCCTTTTCTCTCTCGAGAAAAAAAGAAAAGAAAAGAACGTGTGTACGCCAATCGCTAATCCGTGGCATTAATGGCATGCTAAGTAAGCACGATCAACTCGAGAAACTTCACGACTCAAAAAGCATGTGTCGTCCATCGATTACCAAACAAAGCTTTTCCGCTTGCCACGGTTAGTGGTTTGATACGTGAGAAGAAACACAATTCTCAGCCTCCGAGGCTGACGAGGCTGCCAGCCCGGAGTCACTAAGAAGTCGTAGTTTCGCTCATGTATGGGTGGAAAGGCAATAATAATTCGAGTGTTGAATCTGCTACCTGCAGCATTCCATGAATTGTGCTACATGGAAACCTTAAGCAAGCTTCATTCCACCAGGTCGTCAAATCAGATGATCTGCTAGCTTTCGTGCTAATCGCTTAAGATGGAGCACGAAGAATGCTTTTTTAGAGATTCCGAACGCTACTTGACATTTTTGCACTTCTTTTAGACAGCCATCCAACAGTAAGATATACCTCAGGAGAACACAAAAGCCATCTTCCAACATCTCCTGATTTGATCATGGCGCCTTGCTGTGACTGGGAGAACAAAAATTCTATACCCTTTCGATCCCCCTCTAATGGAAGGTGGCCATTAACTTCTGGTCCGTGGCGAAGTCGAATTTGTTCATGGATTATCACTTCACAGAGTAAAATGCCAAGCTGGAATCGCAGTGCCTGCCTTCAACTGGCAAGTCTGTTTCACAGGTTCACCGCGGAGAATATCAACGGAAGTTCTTATTGTCTAAGAGCCAGCAAATTGTTTTGGACTCGGCGCGGCATCTTTTGTTGGTGACAAAGAGAATGATGTCAGTAATAGGAAAGATGAGATGGGATTTGCGGGAATATGCAGGTCCTTTTCACATGAAATTGTGAGGACCAAAATCACAAGAATCTTCCCAGTTGTGAGGACTAATGCCTGTTGCCACAATATATGGAAGTCTACAACTGCATGCTTTCGAAAGAAACAAAAGCAGCAGAAGGGATAAAAGAAAAAATAAAGAATGACTTACTGCTTCCTTGGTTTTGATCCTACAAGTGGTTTCATGGTTATTGGCTAGTGAGCAAAGCTTCCTCCCAACTGAAGATCTCGATAGGAGACCTTCCGATCCTATCTTTCTTTTCTTAGTTTTGCAAGGAAGCTATCCCATTTTCCTCGAGATCTCATCCTCCTCATTTCCTAGCGAAAGTTAGCCGCGTTTACTTAGCTTGTATGTGAGATCCTGCAATTAAGAAAGAACGTCGATAAATTTGGAAGACCTTAGATTCTAGACTAAAACCAGTGAAAAAGATAAGATAGCTTTATGGATGAGAATATGATGGGACTATATACCATTATAGCCAAAACAAATCTCTATCATCTTCCTACTCCAATTAATCTTTCTAAATAAATGACTCGATGCTTGCTTTCATACTAATCAAGCAAACACTAAGGTGTAGAGGAGAGAACAAAAGGAACAAGTCTGTGCTTCTTGTCCCGCACCACGTCGAAATAGCATAGTGTATATGGCTTCGAGGATAAGAAAGTAAACACCAAAGAGATAAGAGGGCACACCACCAGGTTTTGGCGGCAGGAAGAAAAAGACTCGCAATTCTCCTGGCAAATTCTGGTAAGATTAATGCTGTGGGTAAATGGGATGGACAAGTATCATGTCCGAACCAAACTCGCACAGGAATTGAAGGAAGTGCAAGCATTATACACTGGCTAAAAAGTATTTGACAGTGACCTTTTCCAGTTATATTTTTGGGCTTAATATGAGAACAGTATTTGTCTGTTTATGATAATGACAGTATCAGTATGGTCTCAACTCAAATCTGATTCTGTCTTCAATGCCTGTTTACTGTTTAAACATATCAGAATTTTGAATTTCCTTTTTAAAACATCAATATGATGATATCTTTCTTCACACCTCATGGTTCTTGTGGTTTGCTTAGACTCACATACAACAACAACCATCGTTTTCCTTCTTTGTTTCCATCTCCTTTTTCCTTCTCATCTCAACTCACTTGTGGACCAAGTTTAGAAACTCTCTACGTACGAGCTACAGTAAGAAAAAAATGTGTTAGCAATTGATTCCGACACAAGTGCAGCCTTCTATGACTTGCACAACATGTTTTCCTTGGCTTCGTTATTGTCATGGTTGATGGTAGCGTTGCTTCACGACGACTGAGCTAACAACTAAAAATAGACTGCTTCCCTAGTATTAATTTCATTTAGTTGAGACACTATTCGAATTCACTTCTTTAACTGTTCATTTCTATGATTATATATATTTTTAAGTATGATTTGTCTAATATCTTTATGATAGAATTAAACATATCATAAAGAGATTCATTATATCAAGAGGTCAATGCATTAAAGACTTTCTGATAGAAGAATAAATCAAATTTACTATTGATTCTTGAAAGAGTCTATTGGAGAAGAGTGATTCGTAATATCTATGGAGACTATATAAGCTCCATGTGTTAGATCATGGAACATATAGTTGTCTAAGATTTTTGAGTGAAACATGAAATATTTTCATCTTGTCATGTTCTTCCTCGCATTTCCAACACAAAAATGTCCTTTTTTTGACGTTGACAGTGACATCAAGTTGTGACATTCGATCTTGTTTCTGCTTGCTGTTTACAAGTTTTATACGTGCGATGCCACGACTAACTGCAGTTCTAGACAGTGACAACCTGTGCCTTCCCACTCACATGTGTGAAATACCAATGCTCATCGCCCCCCCCCAGCTCTCCTATAAAATGGGCCTTCGACCTCATGTTCGGAGCCAACATACACACAGCAATTGAGAAGGAGAGGAAGTGGAAGACGGTTCTTGTCTTTCTTCTTCTTAGTAAGAGGGGGGAGGGAAAACCCTTGCTCGTGCTTCATTTCTAGAGCTCTCCTCGACGAGAAGATGGCTGGCCTATCATTGCAGCACCCTTTGCCTTTCGCCTTCGGCATGTTAGGTGATCGCCCTTTAGATCTTCTCACCCCCCTTCACTCTCATCATACCATGCTTCTAGTGAAGTCCTCCGAAACAATATCCGAGTCACCCATCTACCAATTATTTCTCTCTTGCCTTTTTTTTCTTATGCTGTTCATGTAGATCGTCATTAAGTTTCCTCGTTCTTGGTTGCTCGGCCTTTGTTTGTCTCGCTTCAGTGGGAAGTCGTATCGGGTTCTATTCATTCGGCTCTGTCTTCTTTCTGAATGTAGCTACATAAAGTTAGGATCGTGTGATGCAGTGAGGCAGCCACAGTAGAAGTTTTGGAAGGGGAATTTGGTGCATGCACTCTTGTGAACTACCTACTCTTCACAGTGCTGCATGTGGCATCCGGCAGTGATGCAATGCTCCCGTCATTCTCTATTTCATTCAGTAAAAATAAATATTCGCAAGCCAACCACAACTAGATTTACTTTTGCTATTGCTTCTCTATATCATGCTTTTGACCTATTTCCCTTGCCAAAATCCTAGTGAGTCTATGCATGCGGATCATCATATTTATTCTGCTGCTCCTTCATGCATACATAGCCTTTTGTTTCATGGCATATTACTGACAGCTACGAGATTTGCAGGCAATCTCATCTCGTTCATGGTGTTTCTTGCCCCGATGTAAGCATCACCTCTCGAGTTCTCTAATGTTTCTGTGTGCTGATTCATTTGTGTGTGCTTGCTTGTAATCTGACGCCATCCTTACCCTTTATACGCAGTCCGACGTTCTATCGGGTTTACCGGAAGAAATCGACGGAAGGGTTCCACTCGGTGCCTTACGTTGTTGCGCTCTTCAGTTGCATGCTGTGGATCTACTATGCGTTTGTCAAGACCAATTCGATGCTCCTCATCACCATTAACTCCTTCGGGCTGTTCATCGAGACAATCTACATCACCATCTACCTCATCTATGCCCCCAAGAAGGCTAGGGTTCGTGATCACGAACACATACATCTCTATATATAAATTCTGAAGGCTCTAGAAATTTAATCTTGCGCTACTCGATCTTGAGTTGCAGATCTTTTGCATCCAAATATTCGTCCTCTTGGATGTGGTGGCGTTCGCTGCGATCGTTCTCTTGACTCAGCTAGTCTTTAAAGGCTCCAATCGCGTGACAGTTCTCGGATGGATCTGCGTTGGCTTCTCCATAAGCGTCTTTGCTGCTCCATTGAGCGTCATCGTAAGATCTGAATCAGTATCTCGTTCGACCTATTGCCTCGGTGCAGTCTTTCTTTTCGACTGACGTTCGAAGCTGAATCCAATGTGCAGAGGCTCGTTATCCGCACCAAGAGCGTGGAGTTCATGCCATTCTTCTTGTCCTTCTTCCTCACCTTGAGCGCGATCGCCTGGTTTGGCTACGGTCTCTTCACCAAGGACATATACGTTCAGGTAACAACGAAGCCGGACGTCGCTCTTGTTTCTCTTCGTTCTTGCTTGAACACTTGGTTCTCTCGGCAAATGCAGCTTCCAAATGTCTTGGGGTTCGTATTTGGGATTGCACAAATGCTGCTCTACATCATCTACAAGAAGAAGAAGAACGTCGTGGTGGAGCCAACGGTGCCTGAGCACATACTCAAGATCGCGGAGCTGATCACGACCCCAGCATCGGAGTTGCAGGTCAGCATCGAGGAGAACGATCGCAAGAAGAAGGCCAACGAGGACGCTGAAGGCGTAGACAACGGAAAGACGGCAGCAGCAGCAGCAGCAGAGGAGGGGATTGAGATCAACGCAGTGTGAGGCATGCAGGCCGGTCTCGAACGAAGATACAAAGAACATTGAAGATTTCATATTGCATCACCCCCACTCCTTCCTTTTACCGATTCCTCTACTTCATAGGCGCCTTAATTCTAGCTTCTAAAGATTATGTGTCCGACTACTTATATCCCCAGAAGAAAAACAAACAAGTGTAGTGTGTCCATGTATCATCATCGCAATAATAAAGTGCCTGCCTTTTCTTTCTGCCATTAACCGGATTCATACCAGCGCTATCTATCTTAACTCCACCTTCTGTGAACGACGACATCTTCTACCGCTTTCTTGGAAGAACAAAGAAGCTGATGCAACATCATCACTCGGCGAGGAGCGATGCATCGAGTTGGCAGATGAAGGTGACAAGTGCTTAGTAGCACTCTCTCAGTGCTGACATGATCTAACTATGTGCCCCATCCCCCGCTTGTCATGGTTCTCACCAAGCACTGTCCTAATACAAACTACGATACGACTGTAGTAGTTTATATTCACCCCAACTAAGACTACACCAATGTGGACACGAACACAGTCGTACTCTTCTCGTAGGTGTCATCTTTAGTTTGGTCCAAACGACAGGTTGACCTTGGAACTTCTCAACGAAACCAACGGAGCTGAGAAGTCTTCGGCAGGCACATGACCTTGCGCTTTGACTTGTGACCTCGCCACCTAATTACAACATATCAAGAGGGACGCGTGCACTCAACCTTTAAGAGGGCTTCATGCATGAAAGGTTGACTCCGAAATCCCCACTCGCCTGCAGTTTCACGTAGTGCTTCCAATTTGGATTCGTTTCCTGTCGTGTCTAATATGTTTCGCATGACAAAAACTTTTGCTATATGATTTGTCCAGTAGTAAATTATTTCCATACGATACTCGCATCGTTTTCACGCGTGATTTGATGAGAACTTCCTGCAAGTATTGCTCGATAAGTTTGAAATTATCAAGTCGAAGTTGATACATTAAACCGTGCAAGTTGACGACCACCTTCTTTTATTGCTTGATAGGTTTGAAATTATCAAGTTGAAGTTGATGCATTAAACCGTGCAAGTTGAAGATCACCTTCTTTTATTGCTTGATAGGTTTGAAACATGAGACCAATAATGCCACTTGTGTTGTCGGAAATGGCCAATTCCTCGTTGAACTTGTGGCCGACATTAAGGAGAGTGTGTTAAGCTCAGCTGGCAAATTGCGGCTGTTCTTTGAGTGTTGAGGCTTCCTTCTGTCACCGGACATTTTCCTGTACGAGATTTGGACGAAGACTATCGAGGAGTATATTCCTTTTTCTTTCTACACGAATTATTGAGAAAATTATTTTATTTTATTACTTTTTATTCTCCTCAAATAAATGCTCTGCCTTTCTGTTTTTCCTACATATTTGTTGTCTCCAAAATGTTGATAACAATAATAATATTATATTTTGTACTTTCATAGAAACGCTGCAATCATATTAAACGATAATATAATTGATGCAGATGTCGATTTGCATTTTTATTTCTAAACTAATAAGAATATCTATTAGAGACTAAGATTAGTTTATATTATATTTTCAATCAATTAAAATATCTTCATAGATATGCCATAAATAATGTAACCATATTTTTTTAGAAATATTTAAATAAATGAAAAATGAAACTTTAATTGTAAAAATGATAGTGTGAACCAGCATTACAATCATAAACTTTTTATCTTGATCAAACAGGGTGTGAAGATATCTAAAAGGTAAATTACATTAAATCCAATGCAAAAATAAATTATTTAAATATAACAAATAATTAATTTATCTGACATAATTGTCCTGATGCATATGAATTTTTTAGAGATAAAAAAGAATACTTTTTTATTCATCAAAATATCATTAGGTGGTTCTATCCTAAGGAGTTTTTGTATGAGCTTTAAGCTCATTTTTTATATTGATACTCCTCATGTTTACTTTGATGAATAGGAAAACAAGGAAGTAAAGAAAAGATACATGAGAGGGGTGGAGAGAGAAGGAAGAGTGAGCACCACCCGAGAGAGAGAGAGAGAGAGAGAGAGAGAATGTTAGGACTTTAGCTAGGAGAGTCCTAATTGAGATGGACATTCATATAAAACCTACCTAAGCCGACCCATATTAAAGAGATGAAGAGGCCAACTAGGGTTAAGAGGTTTTTTCTTAGAGAAAAATTAGGAGTTGTAAAGGAATAGGAGTCTTGAGTAGGAGTCATATTATGAGTTGGTTAGAAGTAAGAGTCTTAAGTAGGAGTCCTATTAGGAGTTAGGATTTAGAAGTCCTATAAATAGCCATGTATTCATTCTCTTTTCTTAAGCAATAGATGAATCTTTTCTGTAACCTTTGAGCAGCAACTTGGAGGGAGGAACCCCTATAGAGTTCCAAGGAGACCGATCCCCTAAAGAGATCAACCCCAAATTTAGAATCTACAAGGGTTCTAACAGAGAACAAAGGACATAAACTCTCTCTTAGATAAATAATTAAAGCTTAAATTAAAGATATTCAAGTAAAATTAACTATCTTTATAAAATCGATTTGATTTTATTTTAATTCAAAAATCATGTGATCAATTCGATTTTTTTTATAATAATAATTAATCCAACAAGTGAATCAGACCAATTCCTGATTTTTTTTTTTTGGAGTCCAGCCATCTGATTCTAATAATTATGTCGTCCACCGTCGTATACGTGTAAATACCATTAGAAATGGATTTGATTCGTATGGTTCCCAATTCAAACCTATTTGTGATTTGGATTGGAGTTTCAGTCAAAGAACAAGCCAATCAACAAGCAAACCCAAGTATTGATCGATCCTTGCGCTTTGATGCTATACAAACTCTTAAAAAGAAACAAATAAAAGTTGATTAAACCTAATATAGTCTTGGATCTTAGATCATAATTCATAGAGGGAACTTGCATTTTCCTTCCTCATCACGTCTTTCAACTAAATCCAGATTACTCGGATAGACTACATTTCTTTAGAGACTCCAAGCTAACACACTCATTATCCATATAATTAATTATTGCAGGCTATATGGATTTATGTTATGTTTATACAATTTTATGCTAATTGTCAAATGCCTAAATCATTTTGCCAACAGATAACAATTCCAACCATCACGCCTCTTTAATGTTGTGCTCTATCCATAGTTATTCATAAGCACAATTATCAACTTGCATGACGTCTTACAAGTAAAAAAAACAACATATGCTAAGATCTCATACGAAATTTAGACAAAAAGGAATTGCTGACAAAGATGCAGATACCGAGGTCACAGAAAGCGTTACCATTTGGAAATGACAATAAATGTCATGCCATCAAATTATGTTATAAAAATAAGAAAATTTTAATGGTAAGAAAACAGTGTATCAAATTATATAGGTAGCAACCAATTCAATTTCACTGTATCGACCGGTATTTACCAACATGCAGATCGATATTCCAGTAGGGACCGACCGAAAAATCGAAATGAATGATTACAGTACCTAAAATTGAAAACTTCAGGGGTTATCCACTGTAGAAAGCTCTGTAGCAATCAAATTTCTTGGGTTATCCACTGTTATTGATGGTTAAGAAAAAGACTGAGACGGGTCTGTTGGTCAGCTTAGTTTTTCTGTTGACTTAGTAGCTTTACCAACCTCTAAGAAATAGAAAAGCAATTCCACAATAATGCAGAAATTATTTGCTATGAACTGGACAGCACTAGTCTATGTGAAGTAATCTAATATCAGAACTTTGCAGTGCAACATTCCAAGCAATGAGCTGACACAAGTATACACCAAAAAAGCCAAACAAGTCATCTACTGCAGCATTCTTTCTCGTGTACTAGAAAGGTCAGCTATGGAAGAACGAGTCAGGTTACACGGCTGAGTAAAACCATCACATTATGATGAAGACACAAGTCATCACGAAGATCACAAGCCATGCCAAAGAGGTGGTCTTCAAACTTTCTGAATACACCTCCATGGCATGGCCGGTGCTCGCCAAGCAGTGCTCGACAGCACTCGATGGAATCGTGAATCTATTAAGACATGACATACATTGTTTGGAAGCTGCATTGGTCTAAGCAGAAGAATCAACCGACAAGATGATAAACTCATAAATGCAATTCATAATATTATCATCATTTTTTTAGGTAATTATAGTCTTGAGTTGGTAAGGTATGAGTTGTAGGATAAAGTTAAATAAGCAAGAGGATGAAGATCATCTAAATGGCCGAAATTTCTAGGAAATTAATTACAGTTTAGGTCAGTTGAAGGATAAAATGATCATAAATAAGTTCTTGATCAGTGGTGTTAGCATCTATTTGAGTGCATTAGCAAGAAGTTCTCCCTGACCTGATTTTTGTGACATGCTTCACATTGATTATAGCTATAGACACAAAAACATGAGACTAAAGTAAGAGATGATTACGAAAATTCTCAATACCTTCTCCGTGTCTTGCAAAGATTGGACCATTAAGAGACTGCTTTCCTTCAGCTGTCGTGCTAAGCCAACCATATCGTCTGTCAAATCTTCTTGAAGCTTTCTGTTCTATGAGAAAATGACAACAAAAGGTTCAAAATAAATTTTCTATTATTAGACAAAAATATCAATTTTAAATCTGGCTGTTAAGTGACTGGAAAAGGTAGTCAAAACAAGTGAATGGGCCCCTGGCAACAAAATGACACTAGGAAAACACGAGCCTACTCTGTACCATCATCTACTGACAACCAGGAAATTTACCAAGAAGTTCAAATTTTCCTACAGAAAAACCGAAACATAGACGCACCTTCCCACTCTTATCAAAGACTACAGTTGTTGAGGTATAAATTATATACAGCACTCATCAAAAAGTAATATTTGCTCAACAGACAATTTTTGATAAGGTAATCATGTTCTCCATAATATCACAAAAGGATAAATTGAAGGCCAAATTTAATTTTCACTCAAGATGTATAGTTCTCACTAGCATGCATGCATTGCCACAATGAAATTTATCACTCAAGATAGCAGAAACCAAAACACAACATATGTATAAACAAGCACATGATACACCTAATTTTCTCAATGCTAGTCAGTGCTCCTGCATCCAACTTTACTGGCATCGTCGAATCCCTGCAGCATTGTCGAATCCCTGCAGTAATTATTTTTATTTAAATTTTTAAATTTTAATTCAACTAGGAATCTTATTCTGAGTCATGCTCAGAATCAAAATTCAGAGGTAATCCATGAAACATTGTCTTAAATTTGTTTTGTGGTAATATAGATAGTAACAAGAGGAACTATATATATTTTAATTTATGACTTAAATACATATTTATTGTTTTGTTCTTGTTGTTGTATGACTTTTATATATTAAATATTTTTTTCTCTTCTCTTGTCTACTTATCATTTCTTTATTTACCTCTCTCACTCTCTCTCTCTCTCTCTCTCTCTCAGAAGCAGTGGTACTCTTCTTCTAATGACTACTCTCCTTATTCTACTTCATTTGTTTGCTTCTTTATTAAAAATAATATTGGTGGAATAAGCCAAACCTACCAGAATCAACCAAAATTGGCTGATTTCAGCCTGAAGTGTCAAGTTTAGTCAATCTCATCTTATTCTCACCCTGTCTATAAAATTATTGCCAAGTCAAGACTCAAAACTTGAACCAGCAGCTATGTTGTATCTAGTAGACATGGCAGTGGGTGAACAAAGTGCCAAGTCCAAGCATCAGTAGGACTCCTAAATTTAGATAGAAGGTGCCTCTTGGGTTAGCAAATGTGAAAGAAAGAAAAATTATCATTAAAAAAAGATAAGCAAGATAGGATAAGCACATGGTCTATATGGCATACGATACCAGTGTTGGATGGCTATGGTACGTTGGGTACAAAGAAGCTTAACATGCCAATATTACATTGGTATGATTGGTATACAGCATACTGGTACAAGGTTGACTAAAAAATGCACATTCAGTTACAACCTTAAAAAATTATGAAAGTCTAATGGGATAATATGAACATATTTGAAAAATAGCTGTTTAACAGAATTTGATAGTGAAGTGTTAATGCAAACTAATTTATGTAGCTATATGTGGAAATTGTCAGCACAAAGGATAAAAACTAATGGATGAATTCAAATTTTTATTAGCTTAAGAAGAACCAAAAGAAAGGTGTAATATATAGTAGTTCGGCTGTCAGCAACACAAAATACCTAGAAATGATTGGTGAAATAAAAAAACATTTTCTATAACAGGAACAATGTAAGCAACTTTGCAACATTTTAGATGACATGCATTATGTTGGTGCTAAGATTTGTACAGACATAGCATGCTATAGAGCCATATCTATGCGTTCATACATCATATCATATATGGGTTGCAACATGCAAATATGCAATAAATCTTCAATCTGAAACTGAATCAATCGACATACTTCAAGGAATTTTTAGGAACTAATCCAGGTATGCCTTTGACAATAAGGGTTTGAGATCTCCCATCCAGCTTGATCTGTTGAAAACCTTAATTTTGCACATAAGTTGAGCTTGATTTCTGTTGTAAGGTCAAAAATTGCTGTTGAATGAAGATATGAAGCTTTATGCAACTTACGCTACCTAATTTAGCAAACTGGAGAAAATTTAAAAGAGATGTTGGTATCCGGTGTTATGTTGCAAGTACAATAAAAATTTAATGCAACCTTTTCAATAATGCTCTCCCTAATGAGCTCTCTTTATGCTATCATTTGCCCTGCACGACTTTCCCTCTACTTATATTTCTGATTGATGACTTCTTCTTTCTTTTTGAAAATACTATGCTTGCTCCTTTCAGCCTCTGGATCCTATAGTGATAATCTTGGTGTACTTATTCCTGCAACTCTATGGTACAATTGATGCCTCAGTTTGCATCTCAGTATTTGCACATCTCGGTTGATAAATATACTTAAATTTCCTCTCCAATCCATGCTATATTGAAGGCACTAACTTCTTCATGAAAGGCCTACAAACAGCCTGGCATTTGACTTAGTTTTCATATGCAGTGAAGTCCAAGAAAAAAACTTATCAATAAAAAATCTAGAAATGTGCTAATTGCTCTAATTGTATCCTTAGTGTGATAATATACTGCCAAAGTTAATGAATTTGGAGATTTAACCAACACAAAAAAGAAAAAAAAGATTGCTATAAGGTTGTTGAATTGTTAAACCATACGCAAATTTAAAATCTTAGGAACACCAGGAGAGAGATATTAGTTGTTATCTAGAGGTAGTCTCTTTCTAGAGAGTGATTAATATTCCTAGTGTGCAATAGGATGGCTCTAGCGTACATCTAAAAATGATGGATGAATTATCATGACAACTATAGAAGTTGGTCTGTCTGAGAACAACAGGCTGGACGAAATACTTACATGTACGAGCTTTGTTTGATTCTGTTGTCTAGAAGCAGCTTCCAACAATCTTATCAAATCGATTTCAGTCTTGCTGAGACCCATCGCGAATACCTAAGAGCAAAGAAACACATCATAAAGAAAGGGTTGGTACCAAACTATTTACAAGAACGATGCAAAACTGAACTTTGACGAAGGAAAAGAACTTTCTTTCTCTTGAAATCCTGCATAAAATGAGGAAAATAGCATCAAGATCTCTGATCCAAGATCGACGGAACAATTACCCAATGAAGGGTTTCAAATAGCAATAGAGGAAGGCTCTCAACTGAACAGCAGACGGATGCAACTGACAGCAACCAGAGAAGTTTTGGTAGGAGAAACCCAAAGGTCTTCGCTTAGGGCATTCTTCGCACTGTACAAAAGCAAATGGTGGAATGGCTCTCGACTGAGGTCTTCTCGCCGATGCGAGAGCAAATCCCGCAGATGTTACCTTTGATGGGACGCTTGCTCAGTCCATTTAATTTAATTATTTGGTAACTTATTTATTTATCATTGTGTAAAATCATTATTTCTATAAAATTAGAGTAAAATCCATTTTAGTTCCTATAATTTTTATAGTGGATCTCTTATACCCTTATTTTTTTACTCGTGTCTAAAATAATATCTATATTTTTAAAATATAACTTATATCAAGTTTAAATTAATAAACGTTAGAATTTATTTACGTAGCATGTTGACTCACAATAAACCATTAACTTATATAAGTCTAAGTTAATAGACGGGAGGATGTGTCATCGTGGAAGCGACCATCAATAATAACATCGAGCCGTTATTGTCTAGCAAGGTGTTGTACGCACGTAATCTCTCCCGTGTTGACGACAAGCTTAAGAGCTTTCAGTGCTACCTCAGGTGGATGTGTGTCAACGAATTCGATACTAAGTATACAATGGTCTCCTAGTCTATCTTCCTTTTCTAGGCGTCTTCGTCCCCATCATCTCTCACTTCGTCCTCTCCTGCACCCTAACCTGTCGTGCATATAATATGGTGATCCAACTCCTTCTCACCTCTACCTCTGGTCGCTCCTACCTTTATCTCTTCGCGGGAGAGATGACTTACAAGATATTGTAGCTTATATGTATAATTTTTTAAACTTAAATTATATATAATTATATTAATAATTTATTATGAGTTAGCATATTACAGATTTTAACGTATGTTAACTATTTAAATCAACTATTTTGATTTAAATATTATGAGTCAGCATACCGCGTAAACAGATCATAATGTCTGTTAACTATTGTGAGTCAGCGTACCACGTAAACATATTCTAACGTAAAAATTACCAACAATAATCACTATAATATTATTAAAATATTTAAATCAATCTCGATAAAATTACAAAACATCATGATAAACTTGCATTAGGTTTAGTGTACGGTATGAAACCCAATCCAATTTAAGCATGAGGGGAGATGCTAGAACGATAGTAAGATCGATCATAAGAGAAGCTTATGGCTGCCAGACCCTACAAGAAAATAAATATTTAAATACTATTTTTAGAACAGTTTTGTATTTTCTTGTAAAGGTAATATACCTTTAAAAAAACAGAAAAAGAAGGAAACCATAAACATGCTTTGAAAGCAATCTTCAGTGTCTAAGCTTCGAATGCTGGTCATAATTGGTCAAACCCAAGAACCACATCAAGCCGGATCGGCCGACGCACCACGGTCCGGTCCAAAATAGTCACCTTACCCTCCTCACGTGACAGGTGAAATGACCCCCTTTTGTACCTTCCTTTCAAACAGCTTCCCGTGAATCTTTTGGGGATCCAAAGTCGAGCATCCTCAAAAGAAAAGAGAGCAATTCCTTCAGTGGCTTGAGTCCACTAAAACACTGTGATCTCTGCCTCCCAACCTCCGAGGGAAGAGAGAAGAGATAGGGGAAAGAGAAAACAAGCAAAGAGAGACAGAGAGAGAGAGAGAGACACGAGATGTTCCTGTGCTAAAGACAGCAGCTGCACGTACAATATATCTTCTGATTCAAATTCTTTATCAGCGCCCCGCAGGACGCAGAAAAGCTACTGTCAACATGTGACCCGCAGCAAGCTTCCAAATCAATCACAAGCCCCCGTGAAGCAACACCCCTCACATGTCCTTGTTTCCTTCGCTTGGCAATCCTCGGTTGGCTTCTTCGATCATATGAACCGGAGTGGTAGATCTCGAAGAACAAGAAACCTCTCGCTTTGTCCATCACACCCCCGTTCGCCATGAATCCGGCGACCCTGGTGCTCTTGATTGCGGCTCTTTGCACCGATTCCCTCTCCGCTGAAGCTCTTCCGCATCGCATTCCTCACATCACCGTGCTGGGTGCAGTCTACTGCGATACCTGCGCCTACAACAACTTCTCCAAGAACAGCTACTTCCTGCGAGGTAAAACCCGATGCCATGTCTCGTTCCCTCCTGCGTACGTCATGTGCCAGCTTCGTTCTCTTCTGGATCCCACCACCAGGTGCCGAGGTGCAGATAGACTGCAAGTTCGTCGCCAACTCCACGTCGAGAGAAGCGATGTCGATCACGGCTGACAGAACAACCGACAGATTCGGAGTGTACAAGCTGGAAATCCCCCCGGTGGACGGATTCGAGTGCCGAGAAGGGCGGGAGATCAAGTCCATGTGCCGAGCCAGCCTGAGCAAGAGCTCGTCTCGGCGCTGCGACGTCGCGGGCTTCAGGAGTTCGACAGCGCACGTCGCCGTCAAAGACAGGGAGAGCAACGTCTGCTACTTCAACCTGAACGCATTGAGCTATAGACCAGCCCGGAGAAACGTGCCGCGGTGCGGGGCTAAGGAGGCGGCCATGTCGAGTTTCGCAACTTCGTCCTTCATCTTTTGGCCGATTCTTCCACCATTTGGAATTCCTTGGCCAAGTCTCCCGTTCCCCTTCTCTCCGCTGCCGTTTCTGATCCCACCATCGCTTCCCTTCCCCTTCCCTCACATTTCGTTGCCCGATCCATCCTCTCTTCCTTTCCCCATCCCATCTTGGCTTCTTCCTTTTCTGAAGCCACCGTACTTTCCCTTCCAGTTTCCTCCCATACCTTTTCTAACTCCAACTCCAACTCCGACTCCCCCTTATTCCTCCGGATTTCAGCCTCCAGCTCTCGTTCCATCATCAAAACCTTGACGCACCTTGTCCTCCTCGGAGAGGTGTCGCAATCCGGGAGAAACCAAGCACTAGTTAGAGACATTTTTGGAGGTTAATTAGCAGCTTCTTGACGAATTTCTTTCTACTTTTTTTTATCTGAGGACAATGTGTGAGGTAGCTGATCATTTGAGATCAGTAAATGAAGTCACTGGGTGTTGTTGAAAGAACGTAGCTTTGCTTCTCGGTTGACACCGCCAATATCTCAACTCTCATATTAACCAAGCAAGAGACGTTAGGCAGCGGAAAGCATGTAATGAATGCTCAGTGAGAACCCCATAATGAATTAGAACTGAAAGCATAATACGACTACAAACGCATGATAAGATTTAGAACGACAATGAACTAAAATCTACAGCCGATAGACAACAATAATGAATTTACAAGCATGCTTTGTGAACTGAGAGTATAAAATACAAGTCAAAAGGATAAACAGATTACCTACTAGTGTTATGCAATGTACACAGACTTCTCATGAAGAATGAGAGGAGGTGAAGATAGAAATGAGCTCTTCTAACCTTCAAGTCTGATGACCTTCCCTTTAGGCATCTGGTTGACATGGAATGCGGGATTTGATCTAATCCTTTTCCTTGCATCCAGAATGTGGTGTTAATAGAACACGGTTTAAAGGATGCGTCGTTTGGGAAACGCTTTTTAAGCTTGAGAACAGAGGATGCGTGGGGAATGAGTCAGATGCTTCTTTGTTGGGTAGATGGCCCATTATTCAGCCATATGGGCCTTTAATTATCCACAGCCCATTTTAGTTTTCTCTCTTTTTGTTTAATTTAAATCCTAATTCATTTAACTAATAGAAAGAAGAAGCAATAGATGTAGTTGCATTTGATGAAAAAAAAATAAGAGAGAAGGAAAGGGAATAAGATAAGGATAATACAGAGGTTATTCTCAATCATTTAGGTATTGTTCTCATCTCAGATTAGATTAGATTAGATTTATAGTGAATTCTTACTGTGATCACTTACGAAGATTTTGGATATTGTGCACGATTATGCAATCTTGAGTTTTGGATAAAGATTTGTACATTCATTATTTTTATAGTGGATTTTCTCTGGTTTACCCTTGATTTTTACCATTGGAGGAATTTTTCACATAAATCTTGATGTCGTATTTGATTATGATTTTTATTTAATTCCGTTATATATTACGATATACTTATATTTATTCATATATATATATATATTTTTTTTATCTCATCACCTTTTTTTTTTTTATCTCATCACCTTCCGTATTCGAATCAAACTTTAGTAGACAAATTCATGAATCTTTTATCATTCGTATATTAAGTAATCAAATTGGAGTCTTTAGTGAATCGTACCGATTCGACAAATTTGAATCGAATTAATGACGAGCAATTCGAGTTTGGGTTTCGACAGCAATGTTCCTTACTTCTCTTCCCCAATTTATCATCTGTCAATCTGACTTTTTCGTCAAAATCTGACATAATTAGCTGGCTTCATTTAAGGTATATTGTCGTAGACAACCCTATTAATATGATGAACAAGCATTTATCTATCCATCTATCTGTTCCAGCTCAACAAGTGTCAATGAGCATTAAAAACCACAGCATGACATGTTTTTTTATATACTTTTGCATGACCTTTTTTTCTCACAAAAGAAAACAAATAAATACATGGCGGTGTTTGTAGCCACGCCAACCATGGTTTATGGTTTTGGTTGGTAACGAAGTGCGTGTGAGTTGACAAAATATCATATTCATATAAAAATATAATCATATTTTTATCATATAAAAATTTTAATACTAAGAATTAAAATCAATTATTTGATTTTAATTTTTAATATTATATATATATCTTTATCTTTTGATATCATTTAGAATATATTTATTTGATATGTAAAAAGTCATCAGGTAAGAGTTGTGTCAGGACATGGGCTAACTAACCTATCAACTTTGTTTGGTCTAAACCATTGACCAAAATGCTTAAGCTAAAGTTGATAATAGTATACTCATCATATCCTTATAAGTCAATTTTAATCTTATCCACTTTCGATATCGAACTAACCAGTGTTACAAATTAGATCGAAGAGCCTTGGAAAAAAAAATAAAAAATCATTTTTTATAGTTAAAATCATACTTTATAATATTTAAAAATTCAAAAAAATAATTATTGAGGGCTTGAGAAATTAAAAAAATTATAGGGTGATAATAATAAATAGAAGTTTTTTATTTTTTTTATTTTTTTTTAAAAAATAAAAAATAATTATAGATAGTTATTTAGATTTTATATAAGTAAAATATGTTAATTTTTTAATCATTTAAAGGTATTTTTTTGGTTTTTTTGGGGGGTATAATCTTCGTGACACTGTCTTGGCGTGTTCCCACACATCTGCCACCCGCTCGGCATTAAAAGCCTCACGCAGCGCCTCATCAATATCCCACCTCTCAAACCACCCTCCCATCTCTACATATCCATCTCCTCCTCACCGGTTGCTCTCTCACATTAAACGTCAGGCCCATCATGGCTGGGATCTACTCTTCCTCCCTCCTCTCCTGCCTCCTCCTCCTCCTCCTCCTCTTGTGCATACTTGGTCCGTCCGCCTCAGACGACTCACTGCAGGACAAGTGCGCATCGGACATCACCAAGTTGCTTCCCTGCCAGGACTACGCTAGTGGCAGCAAGGAAGAGCCAACGAGCGACTGCTGCAGCTCGGTGAAGGATATCCGCGGCTCCCAACCTGTTTGCCTCTGCTATGTCATCCAACAGACGCACTCCGGCTCCTCCGCCTTCAAATCCCTCGGCCTCAAGGTTGACAGGCTCGTGCAACTCCCCACCGCTTGCAAGCTTGCCAACTCCAGCGTCAGCGACTGCCCCAGTAAGCCACACTATACCATTTACGAATCCTGTCCGTGATATGATCTTGCTATTGTATTTATTATTAGCATGATCAGTTCCTCAGAGCATGATTCCTGCCTTGTGATGATATGTTTAAGAGTATTGGAAAACCCTCAACTTATCCGAAACATATTTAAGTCGAGTGGCGAGATCTATCATCTTCTTTAGGGTTTTAGTGCTTCTGGATGCAGGTACAAGTGTAGTTCCTTTGGTTGGGACTGCTTTCAGGCTTGATCTACTTGCCCTAAATTTAACATCCGACTTCCAAATTAATCAAACTATTCCCTTTCATATAGTTCTTTATTTTCACAAATGATAAGTGGTAAAGATGGATTTTGATGCTAATGTTCTTTGGGGTGATCTCCTCTTTAACAATTAAGCTAAATAATATATCTCCTCCTCGATTATTAGATATGGTTTTGTATTATCAATTTTATTAAGTGAGTTTGATAGAAAAAATTTCGAAGAAGATTCTTTATATGTAAAAATTATTAGACAAGATTTACAATTTTCAACCTGTGATAAATGTGTCTATTTTAGTCAATATTTTAGATAATTTGTGGCACTTGGAAAACACGAAATCAAGGAATCACACAACTATGTTGCAAAGATCTTTAAGACTTCATTGGAATATTATTTAGTTAACGCATCAATCGAGGATTTTGCTACCAATAATGACAACAACAGTTGTTGACATGGAAGTTAATTTTGCTCCAGTCTTGCAGCATCATGTATGTTTGGTCTGCATCTTCCTTCTCACTCACTCTCTTGTGGTCCTCTTTTTTGCCAGAGCTTCTCAACTTGTCTCGGAGCTCACCGGATTACTCTATCTTCACAAACATTACGACAGGTTGGGTCTCATAAGATCTACACACCTTTAAGGCTAATCCCAGCAGTGGCTTCAGATCAACTGCATCAACTAAACTTCCTTCTCTTTCATGTTTGTCACATCGCAGCTAATACCACCTCCAGTGGATCCGCAGATGCGGCACCTTCAAAAGCATTCATCCACAGCATCTGCCTCTATGGAACCTTCGCGATTGGATTAGTCACAGCGTCCTTCTTATCTATTTTATCTTAGCTGCTGAATCAGTTCCAATGATCTTCTTAGTCGTTCATGTTGTTGTTGTTGTCGTCGTCATTCAGTTGTTGATGTTTCAGCCAGAGCAAAACAATCCGTATTTGTTCAGATTCGGACTTGGATTATGACTTTTAGGAAAAAAGACTCTTTGCAGCAGTTGAATGCATATGTTCTTACAGCATATGTTTTCATGTTTCAAGTTGTGTGCAATGAATGCATGAGCATCAGAAGCTTGTTTATCTTCCTCATCATATTTCCTTTACGGCACAATTCCATGTTGCAGAGATGTTATGAATCAAACAAGAGCAAGTTTTTGCTTCTTTCTTTGGGTTTCAATAGTTTTCTCGATGCTATACTATTACTCTCCTAGCTTTCTTGATGCTATATACTATTTGGCATGTCTTGTAAAACATCAATCCCTTAAAACGCTTATCACATTTGTATGCTTCGATACAACAAGCATGTGAACTTTAAATGATCATAAATCATATACTTTGGAATACTTGGTGGGTAGTTTGTGAATCCTTACCGTGAGGAAGTCGTTTAGATGTTGAATCTTGATAATGTGATCTTGTCACTTGACAATACTCTGTAAAACATTATGAGATGTTTCTTTCTCCAATAATATGTTTGTTACTTACATTCACTATTGACACTTATAATGATATATATACTTCTGTGCACCAAATAAATGTCAAAATTATCGAACAACAAAGATGATATTTTTCGTTCATGCATCAACATATCCATGCTTCACAAGACATTACTGGGACTTCATCATTAATTAATGGAAAATGTATCATTCATGATTTGATAGGTGAAGAACCTCATGATATAGTTGACAATGAATGCAATGCACTCTACCACTCAAGTTGACAAAGTGATTTATAATTTTAATGCAGACAAGTTCTTAAAACATAGTTCACACTATGGATAGACTTTGACATGTCCTACGCACTTTGTGACTGATTTATTGACGACCTTCTATTCAACCGAATAATCTAAAAATCGATCCGCCTTAAACAGGACTTCACAAAATGACAATAATCATCCGCCTTAAATATGTAACCAAAAAACAGGTAGAGTGCCGTACCTGAAATTGCATCCCTTGCATACAATAATACATCAAGTGTCATATAAGTAGGACTTTACAAAATGGTTACCAATAAACATCTGCCTTAAATAAAGCATTTAAGGCTGGATTAGGTAGTGTTTAAAT